TTCAGAAAGATTCCCCTCTCAAGTGGGAAAATAGAGACAGTTGTGGCCCTGGAGAAATATATCTTAGTTTTCTGGTAAATGTCACCTATCCAGAACGCCTCATTCCCTGCTGTTACTTGATAACTCAGAGTCAGAGCTGGACGTGGCTCTGTCTCCGTTTTACTGAGAAAACGGAAACAGAGAGGTTCAGTCACTCCCGAGAAGTCACACAGTAAGTGGCCGTGGTGGGATTTGAACCCCTTCCTTTGGGATAATGTGGCAGGAGGGGCAGAGGGTCTCCAGCCGTCAGCTCCTTCAGGATCAGCCTCAGCCGCACAGAGCTACCTTAACTGCGGGAGCGTCCTTTCTGGGTGAGCCCGCTGGGGTGACTCAGTGACACTCAGGTCTAAAGGCCTGAACGTCTCAGCTCCACGTCATCCGCTCTGAGGGCCCAGAACCTGCTGGGTTGGYGGAGACTTTGTCGGACAGCTTCTCGTTCCTGCACCTTCCTCTGCCTTCCTTCCGMAGATTCTGGTCCCTAATAAACGTCTTGTCCTCAAAACTCAGTCTCAGTGGCTGCTTCTGGCTCCTCACCCCTGATCCCAGGAGCAGATGAAGTCACCAATGAGAAGGTGCAGGGGGGGGGTCCCCGGCTGTCCCCCTGACAGTGAGGCTCTCAGCCTGGTGATGTGTGGGACAGACACAGCCCCCCCCGGGGCACAAGGTGGGGGCCCAGGGGTGACCTTCCCTGGGTGACCTGGAGGGCCACCCGGCAGGGGGACAGGTCCAGGGGAGCAGTGTATCAGCAGCCGAGATGAACAGAGAGAGGGGTGGCAGCCGGGTGACCGGATGGGACAGCCATGGCTAAAAGGCCCTGGTGCTGCCCAGAGAGAGCACAGGGCGCCCAGGAGGGAGCCGAGCTTCCAGCCACAGCACAGGCTCATTATGCCAAGGTCAGGACCCGACGCACGGGATGGGGCCATCAGGGTGGTGTCCCCAGAGATGCCAACCCCCCCCCCCCGGGCCCCTCTGAAGCTTCTGAGGCTGCAGACCTGGTCCCCGAGCTCCCTTCCCAGTGACTTCCAGTTGGGTCCACCCAGTAGAAGCCTGGGAGAGGGGACGGGAAGGGAGGAAGGGGGACAGAGGGACGTCTGCCCCAGCTCCCGCTCTGGGCCGCGGGTGGAGCGTGGCTGCCCTGGGGACCCTGCTCTTGGTGGCAGCTCTCTTCCCTTGCACCATCCAGCCAAGGGGGGGGGGTGCAATCTTTCTGCCCTTTTGGYTCTGGAAATCTCCACTGACCTCCGTCAGCTGCCGTGACTCTGCTCGCTACTTGGAAAACGCTCTTTAATCCAGCGGTTTCCACAGCTCTTTGGAGCACCCCCTCTGTCCCCCAACCCAGAGCCACTGGAAACCTCACGCCTGGGCTGAGCCCCGGGATGGGAGATGGCTCCTCCACATCCCCGGCTGCTGGCTAAGAGAAGCCGGGGAGCCCCACCGAGGAGCCCATCACGACGTCCGTTAGTGACAGTAATGACCCCCCACGCCGGGCTCCTTTCTGGGTAACATCTCCTTTCATCTCACCACACCGTCGTGTCCTGCTCCCTGTCCAGAGAAAGAGACCAAGGTTCTCAGAAGTGCCGTGATTCGCCTGAGGCCTTGTCAGTGGGCTGCGGTGGAGTCCAGGACTGAATTTGTGAAAGTCCGTCCCYCTCCTGAGCCAGGAAGCAGCCGATCTTACCAGACAACCCCCAGCCACCTCGTGTTTCACCTTCCCACACGCTACTGGCCCTAGAAACCACCCTCCCCCTTCTCCTCCGGCTGGTCGCTTCTCCGGAATTTATGGCCCTCTGTTATGGTGGTATAGAAGCCGCCCCAGTCTCACAGCATCAATCCCATCTTTCTGCCCAGCTGGGCACACAGCCATACTCCCAGGCACCCGGGGGCTCAGGCAGGACAACTGCAGCCTGCGCAACTTAGCAAGACTCTGTCTTCACGTAAAACTCCCTGGGCCTTTTTTCCTTTTGATCTGTCTTTTAATGCATAGGTCCCCACCCAAGAATATAGAAGATAGTAGAAAGGGTCTTCCTCTCCGGTATCCCCAAACTCCCAAGGATGAAGGCAGAAGTCCTTGACTCACTTTTTTTTTTTTTTTTTTTTAGTGGAGAAGCAGAGGTGGGCAGCAGTTTTCTGTAGAGCCAGCATCCAGCACAGGAGGCCAGCTTCTCTTTCTTGCCTCCTAATCTGTAGCAATTTCTCAGAGCTCTGCTGACTTGAGGTTGGAGGTAGAGAGATAGAGTCCCTTTCACCTCGGACTCTCTGTGCCCCCACCAGAGGCTGATCCATTTCAGCCTGTAACTTCAGAACCGTGAGCCAAAGTAAACCTTTTTTATTTATAAGTTGACTGCCTCAGGCATTTCATTATAGTGATTCAAAGTCCACTCATACAGTACCTGTCGTTTTCAATGGTAGACTCCCAGGGTCAATTGTGAAGCAATAAGAAAGTCCCATCTTAATATCTTTTTYTAGAAGCCTCCTCTTGCAAAATCTGCAAAGCAGCACGATTTACTAAATATTCATTGATGTGTTTTTGCATGCCTTGTTCTCCCTGGTACCCAAGGTCTCCAATTTTTAGTTTCCTTGGTCTACCCTAAAGCCTCAACGAGGCTCAGGGGATCTAAAATAGAATCCAGACCTCCTGCTTCCCTGTCTAATGTTCTTCCTATTAATGAATATTTCTTGTTTTTCCACCTGGCATGGATTCCTTCCTTCTGGTCAAATTTTAAAAAATTGAACTAAGATTTCTATCATGTAAAATCCATCATTGTAACCACTTAAAAATGGAGAATTCAGCCCCTTCTGACACACGCACAGTCACACAGCCAGCACCAGGATGCTATTTGCAGAACATTTCTGTCACCTCAAGAAGAGGCCCAGCATCTGTCAACAGTCGCTTCTCATCCTGCCCTTCGCAGACGGGCGGCTTCCCGACATTTCACACAGAGCTGCACGGAGCTGAGCGACACATTCTGGGAAATGTGTCACTGGGTGATTKCATCAATGTGCAAACATTGTAGAGTGTCCTTACACAAACCAGGAGGCCACCGAGTCACTAASCAATAGACGGTTTTTGWGTTATGTGTGGTGCCGGGAATTGAATCCGAGACCTTTTGCKMCTGAGCCACACTCCCAGCCCCTTTCTAAGTTTCCTTTTGAGACAGGTTTCCCTAAGTTGCTGASTCTGGCCTGGAACTTGTGATCCTCCTGCCTCAGCCTCCTGMKTAGCCTGGATTACCAGTGTATGCCACTGTGCCTGGTGACAATATGCCTTTATGGGGCTGCTTCATGCATGCCATCCATCTTGACTAGAACTTCATTATGTGATACATGACTGTTATGGAATCATACACCTCATGATCTTTTGTAACTGGCAACACAATGCTTTCAAAGTTCATTCCGGTTATTGTAGCATGGCTCAGTACTCCATTCGTTTTCATGCCTAAGTAATATTCCATTATATGGACATACCACATTTTGTTTACTCATTCATCTGTTGATGGACATTGGGGTTGTTTCTATTTTTCTTTTGCTGTTATACATGATGTTGCTATGGCGATTCATGTTTTTTTAAAAAATTTTTTTCAAAATGCCTTTAATTAATTAATTGATTGATTTAGGTTTTAAATATGTGGTGCTGAGGATTGAACTCAGTACCYCATACTTGCTAGGCAAGCACTCTACCACTGAGCTACCGCCCCAGCCCTATGGTCACTCATGTTTGAATACCTGTTTAAATTCTCCTGGGTATGGACTTAGGAGYGGACTTGCTGGGTCAGGTGGTAGTTCTATGTTTTAAGTTTTTAAGGGAACACCCAATGGTTTCCACAGAAGCTTCGCCATTTTCCATTCTCACCAGCAATAGATGAGTCTGGTGATATTTTTGTTTTCCTTCACAGAACGAATCTCCTCTTTGGACCTATCTGGTTCAGAAAAAAAAAAATGTAGATGCACGCACACACACACACACACACACACACACACTCACACACAGAGAGTTAATTAATCTCTTTTATTGAGGTAAAATTGGCAAAGCCTTGTATTTACAATCATCCCTCCCTCCCTGTAGGGGCCACATCTGTGGATTCAACCCACAGCAGATTGCAAATATGAAAGGAAAAAAAAATGGTTTGTACCAACCATGCAGACTGAATTTTTTGAGAACAACTACCTACGTGACATTTCCATTGTATTAGTTACTCTAAGTAATCTTGAGATGATTTAAAGTACACGGGCAACTGTGCGAAGGTTCTATGCAAATGTCACACCCTTCCATCGCAGGGAATCGGGAGCATCAGATTGTGGTATCTGCACGGGATCCTGGGACCAACCCTCCATAGCCATGTGTGATTCAATGCTTTGATAGAAACATACCCTGTGAACGATGCCCCAGTCAAGCTAATTAACCTGTCAATCATCGCACACATGGACCTTTTGTTTTTTGGAGAGAATCCTTAATATCTCTGCCCTTAGCAAATTTCAAGAGACAATGTGATGTTACGAGGTGCAGTCACTGTGTCATCCACTAGATTTCCAGAACTTGTCCATCTCATGACTGAAAGCTCGTGCCCTGCGCCCAGCATCTGCTTATCCCCCCACTCAACCCCTAGGATGCGGTCAACTCCGCCCCCTCGGCCCTGTTCTGTGCGTCTCCGCAGGGCCCAGCCAATCAGCTTTGCCAAAGTGAGGCTTCGGGGCGGGCAGGAGGCTGCACCCAGCCAATGAGATTCMAGCCTGAATCCAGACCCATCCCTGGGCTTGCACCAGTCCATTCACCACCGCTTTTTGTTTCTTGAGCTGGTTCCATTTGGGTCTCTGTCACTTGGCCAAGTGGCCACCCTGAATAATTAAGTCTTGTCTGTTAGAAACCTCGTCTATAAGATTTACCTCTGGTGGCATTTTGCATCTACTCAGCTTCAGCTTTATAGTAGGTACAGCTACTCGGTGATGCTGGGGCCAAGGGTGCATCAGTTAACGCTCAGAGGTGGGATCTTGCASACAAAAGGGAACTTCCGGCTGCAGGCGTTATCATTCCATGACCTCAGAGCTGTGATGGGGGAAGCAGAGCATCTGGGTGAAGATCYACCCACCACAATAAAAGTCACCTCACCACCCCACTGGAGTAAGAGCCCTCCTCTCTGGTAGGCCTCGCCTCTACACTGGTGGCCCTTCCTTGCTGATCTTATTCCCTCATAAGGTTGGTCTTGGTTTGCCACCAGGGACGGGMAGGACACACTTCATTCAGAGCCTTGGCCAGCTCTCAGGATAATAAGTTGCTATTCCATCCTACTCTCCTCTGGTCAGGAAAAGAAGAGAGAGAGGTTAAAGGCTTGGGTCTGGAGATCTGGAGATCTTGGCTTGAAATCTAGCTCCATGACTTGCTTATTGTGTGACCTCAAAGAAGTTGCTCACTTTCTCTGACCCTCAGTTTCCTCATCTGCAAAGCGGGAACATGAACAGTTTTCATTTCTTAATATCGGTGTGGAGAGTGACAGTGCTGTCGATGGTGAGGGTGATTTCTAACAGTGCACACCCACCCYGACAGCCACTTCCATAGAGCCTCTTCCTGTTCCTTCATGTCAACCTGGTGAAGTATCATTAGTCCCAGAGTGGCCCTGCCCCTGGCACCCGGGGACCTCGGATCGCTCTCCAAGGTGCTGAAAAATTGCCAGCTCCCCCCAACCCACCTCCCGCCGCGGCCCCCCCCCCCAGCGCCTCTGTGGGTCTGGGGGCCACCCACCGCTGGCCGGCCGGTACCACATCTGCACACAGTCCTCCTCCTCCGGCCGCGCGTGGACCCCGTCATCCGGCTGGCTGCCGTCCCAGTAGCTGTAGTCGTAGGAGGAGTTGTCCGTCCACTCAAACTGCCCTTCCTGGGGCCCGGGGAGGGAGGGAGCCAGGCAAGGAGAGGGCCGTCAGGGTCTGTCCAGCTCAGCTGGGGGAGCACTCCAGCACCTTCCCCCTCCACCTCTGCAGAGAAGCCCTCGCTTCTCATGGGGTGCTCCTGCAGTCCATCGCYGCCACCGTGGCTAGCGCAGTGAGCCTCGGGGGTCACCTGCTGCCCACAGGGGACGAGGCAGCAGCCCTGGGGTTCAGTCCCAGCTCTGCCCACGMGGCTCCAGTGCCCAGGACCCCAACGGGAGGGACTCGCGGGTGGCAGGCCCTCCCGCGTCTCTGTGTGTCCAGAGAGTCTGCATCGTTATTTTTTCCTGGTGTGGAACTACTCTGTCCGATTGTAGGAAAAGTCCTGTTGGGAATCTGACTGATGCTGCAATAAATGTGCAAATTAACTGTGGAAACAAAGACGGCTGTGCCGTGTGGAGGAACAGGAGCCCTTTCTCCACCCATTCAGCTTTTTAGAAAACTCACCCCCACCAACACCGATGATCATGGAGCTCGTTCTAGGTCATGGAGATTGTGTGTTATTCCTGGGRTGTGGTGGGGGGAGAGAGAGGGGTTGAAGCTCCAGGTGCAGTTGGCGTTTCCCCTATCCACTTTCTAGCTCTGTGACCTGGACAAGTTAATCAACCTCTCTGAGTCTCCATTTCCGYACCTCTAGAATGGAGCTACTACCTCCAGAGAGTGGTTGTGAGGGTTGAATGGACTCAGGGATGTGAAGAGCTTAACACAGAGCTCAACCCAGCCATGAAAAGCAAAGAGAAAAAATAAACCCACAATCCTTTATGCTGTATTGTTTGTTATGATTATCAGGACTTACAAGTTCYTTGAACTCCAATTTAATGTAATTATCATCTAACTTTAATGTTGCTATTATAAATAGAAATTTTAGGTTTTTTTTTTAAAGTTAGAACTTCTATATAGGTTCCTGACAGATTAATTCTGATTAATCCAGATTAATTCTGTTGGACGTGGTGGCCCATGCCTGTATTACCAGCAGCTCCGGAGGCTGAGGCAGGAGGATCTCAAGTTCAAAGCCAGCCTCAGCAAAAGCAAGGCCCTAAGCAGCTCAGTGAGACCCTGTCTCTAAATAAAATACAGAATAGGGCTGGGGATGGGGCTCAGTGGTCGAGTGCCCCTGAGTTCAATCCCCAGTACCACCCCCACCCCCCAAATATATATTTATACTAATTCCAGCCCCGCTGCTTCTTCGGCTATTTTGAAGCAATTCCCCCCATCCTTCATGGGCTCCTGAGCTGTGCCAAATACCATGCTAAGCCTTTCACATACATTAACTCCTTTACTTTATAAAACAAGACACTATTATCTCCGTTTCACAGACAGAAAAACTGAGGCTAAGAGAAGTTTTTTAAAAACCCAGCGTCTCCTACCAACCAGTAAGTTCCAGCTCAGGTGGGTGAAGATCTACCCACCACAATAAAAGTCAGGAGCTGAACCGGGAACTCGGTTCCCCATTGAGCTCCAAGGCAGGGCAAGAACAGCCCCCCACAGCCCCCAGGGAAAGCCTGGGATGGATCTCAGGTGGGGTCTGYGGTGACCATCCCAGGCAGGGGATGCAGCCGAGTCACCTCATCAGCCTTATTTCCCTCCTTCACTCTGCCCACCCTGCCCCACCCCGCTCTCCACCCTCCAGCCACACTCATCTTCTTTAACAACCTTGAAGGTTGGTCAGCTCTCCTGCCTCAGGACCTTGGCCCATGCTGTCCCCTCTACCTGGAATTCTCTGCCTCTGGCGGGCTCCGACTGCTCTGTTAAACACAGGCTGAATTGTTTCTTGCTCAGAGAGGCTGCTGTGGCCCCGGGCTGTGCACAGCAGAAAGCCCAGCTACAGGAGGCAGATGATTGACAGCTGCAGCCTCCGGCCCCTGGGTGGTCACCATCTTGCTGGAGCTGAGGGTGGGCTCCTGCCCCTTGGGACCCAGCCCTGTAGTCACACCAAGGCTACGCTCCTCCAGGCTGTTCCTAGACAGTGACTCGGCAGGCCCSGGGGACTAACGCTGGCCCAGTTGGGGACTCCCCACCGGCCTAGCCAAGACCTCAGAACTGGGYTGTGGTGGCAGCTCCTCCCCCTCCACTCTGCAGCCACGGGTCTCAGGCCCACAGTGCTGTCCCCTATGCCACCTGCTTTATATGTCACCCATCTTCCCGCCACCATCTCTGGACCCTCTCATGTCTTGGTGCCAAGAACGCAAGTCCGAACAAGAGGCCTTCTCTGACCAGACTGTGCGGCCAGATCCCCTTCCTGTGGCCTCGCGGTGTCYGGTCTCCCTCTACACCGGGTCACAYRGCAGGAGCCTGGCCCATGGGGGAGGGTTTGCTAAATGAAATYGAGCCTCGGTCAGAGTCCCCGGGAGCCCGCTGGCCCCTCTCACCTGTCGATGATCGTGGAGGCCCGTCCAGATGTCCGTGGGGATGCCGGGCACACAGCTGTTGGCCAGGTCGTACACAAAGACGTTCTCCTCCCAGCTGTGAGGGTGAGAAACGCGGGCGCGTGAGTCCTACCTGGGCTCTGGGGGTGGAGGGGAAAAGCAAAGGCGGCGCTCGCTGGATTCTCTGCACCAAAGAAGCCCGATTTCTTAATCAGGTGGCCCGTAGGTGGTCGGCTTTTCTTCTAAAAATTTAAATCCATTTGAGAAACGCTAGCAGACAGCGGGGGGTGGGGGTGTGTACGTTAAAAGCAACACTGAAGGTGGGGGGTGCACAGAGCACGCCTGTCATCCCAGCAATCAGGAGGCTGAGGCGGGAGGGTCACAAGTTCAAAGCCAGCCTCGGCAACTCAGTGAGGCCCTCAGCAACTCAGCGAGACCCTGTCTCTAAATAAAATATATAAAAAAAGGGCTGGGGATGGGGCTCCGTGGTTGAGCGCCCCTGGGTTCAATCCCGGGGGATTGCATGTGCACATAAAGTACCTTATTGAAATCTCCACTGGCCACTTTTGTCCCCTCTCAAAGGCGGTCCTTACACTGCGGTGTGTATAGCGCCCTCTCTCTTCTCCTCTATTCCCACACGAACCAGGGGCAGCAAGATGGGCTTTTATTCTAGAAGCTAAGGCAGGAGGATGGATCACTSGAGGCCAGYGTTGGAGGCCAGCCTGGGCAACAGAGGGAGACCCAGGCTCAGAAAAAAAAGATTTTTCCCCCCACATATCATCTCCAGATTCTTTTCTGTTTCCCTGGGCAGTTCATCTCTAGGCTAGAATTTGCACAGAGCCCACTCAGCAAAASCAGTCCCTGCACTGAAAACAGCCCGGCTTCCTTAAAAGGCATCCGTGTCTCCCTGGGGCCTTCCCAGCCCCTGTTTCAAAGAGCTTACCAAATAGTTCACTCCCGAAAAAGAAATTGATGCCAAGAAGAAAAAAGAAATAGAGATGGGTGGGTGGGCGGAAGCATGGGTGGGTGAATGGATAGGTAGAAGGATGGAAGGACGGAGAGATGGCTGGACAGAGAGAAAGGACAGGCCACAAACAGGCACGTAGAGACTCGAGCGCTGATTCACGCCAGGTCTCTCTTGGTTTTATACACATCCCGACACAAGGCAGGAACTGGGGCAGACATCCCTGGCTGAACACCCCACAGCCACTCCTAATCCCTTTAGGAAGTCACATTTCATTTTCCCAGCCTCCTTTGCAGCCAGCAATGGCCACASGACCAAGTTTGGCCACTTAGAAGGCAAAGTTCGTAGAGGATATCAATGAAGGAGGGAGGTGTGGGAGAGGCCCGGTTTTCCCCACCGCCCTTCCTCCTTGGGTCGAAGCCAGGAGTGGACATGAAACTTGGGAACTCTCCCAGTTCCCCGGATATCAGCGAGCCCACTGATGGTCATTTGCACAAGTTAGAAGGGTGAGTGAAGGAGGTGAGCAGAAGTGGCTGAGCATTGGCACACGTCCCTCAAAGTGTTTACAGACCYAGGCAGGCAGATCCGACCGAATAAATGATTCCCATTATCATCCAATAAGTCATTATAAAACAATCATCATCATCCCTAGAGCCAACACCTCACCAAGAAGTTGCTTGAAACAGAATCCTGTTGAGGGACCCCCTGTGGCCACAAGGTCTATGGGCTCTGGTTAGCTTCTTCCAAGTGACGGCTCTCTAAGGGCGGCCATCTCGCCTAGAACGTCCACCATGAAGATATTTCCTTTGGCTTGAGGCGTTGGTGACACCTAAAAGTGCACGTGTGTCCTCTTTTTAGTTCTGTGTTTGTGGAAGACATTGCTRATCCGTTCTAGGTTAGCAGCTCTCAGAATCCTGAACACGGCCCTCCAGGAGTTGCTGAGCGGACACTATTGGAACCGGCGAGGAGAGGGAGGTAAGACTCACTTGCATCCTTTGGGAAGATGGCCTGGCATGGGAATGCTAAGGAAATAAAATCTCTCGGAGGTCCCTAGAACGATTATAAACGAAAATGACAGCAGTTTCCTGTATGGAGCCTGTGAGTTGGGCAAGCCCGGCGTGAGAACTTTAGATGGAGTATCAACTTTCTAGAGACCCACGACTTTTAAAGGTCAGTGTGGAATCTGCCTGCAAGCCACTACAGTGACGAGCCAAGCTGATGGGCCTAATTTCYTGTGTCTTCTGTACTCCCTCCCCTTCTGACATCCACCCAGGGATGACCTAGCACAAGAGCACTTACCAGACACTGGTGCCTTGCTCTCGGACTTCCCAGCCTCCAGAATTGTGAGAACAGTTCATTATAAATGACCCAGGCTCAGGTATTTTGTTATAGCAGCACAACATGAACTAAGACAGTGGTTCAAGAGTCATTTGGAAACTAAGGATGGCTTCTCCATTAACAAAACACAGTGACCCCAAGACATAAGGAAACAATGCCCTTTCTTGGTACATTATTATTATACAAAATAGTGGAATTCATTGTGATATAKTCATACATGCTCATAATTCAGATTCATTGCTCAGCATCTCCCCTTCCCACCCCTCCTGCCTGYCCCCTGGTCCTCTTCCTCTATTGTGTCTCCCTTCTATTTTCATGAGGTCCCCTTTTCCCCTTTTCCTCTCTAGCTTCCACATATGAGAGAAAATATGTGACCCTGGACTTTATGTGTCTGATTTATTTCCCTTAACCTGATGTTTTCCAGTTTCATTCATTGAACTGAAAACCACATAGTTCCATTCTTCTTTATGGTCGAGTAAAACTCCTTTTTTAAAAAAATTTCAATATTTATTTTTCAGTTTTCGGCGGACACAACATCTTTGTTTGTATGTGGTGCTGAGGATCGAACCCGGGCCGCACGCATGCCAGGCAAGTGCAATACCGCTTGAGCCACATCCCCAGCCCTAAAACTCCCTTTTGTCTACAGTCTAGGTTTCCTTTATCCATTGATCTGCTGGTGGGTGCCTCGTCTGGTGGCGTAACTTGGCTTTGTGAACTGCGCTGCTGTCACCTTGGGCATGCGTGCGTCTCTAACGTATGATGACTTGACTCCTTTTGGATAGAGAGCAAGGAGTGGTGTGGTTGGGTCCCATGGTGGTCCCAGGCCGGGCCTCTGGAGKAACCTCCGTTCTCCGTRGTGGTGGTACTAATTTACAGTCCCACCAACAGCGTCTAAGTGGAACCCGCCAACGCTCTTTCTAACGTCAAGTCTCTGAGATCGATGAAGAACAGAGGCCAGATGGAGAGTTTGTAGTTTGAGAGCCAAGGGACCTGTTGCACCTGCTCTGAAAAACTCACAGACCTGCTGCTGGAGGTCAGCTCCGAAAGCTGTGGTTGAACTGTGCAGAGAGACGTCGTGCTTGTGTGGGGGGGTGAGTAATGAATGGGACTAGGGGCCGGGAGTCAGAGGTGGCTCTAGTGAAGGGGTGTTGCTAGAGATACCCCGGGGGGGAGGGGGTGTTTGACCTGCAGGAGGAGGGAGGGAGGGAAGGGCTCCCCAGCAGAGGAGAGGAGAACTGGGAGGGCTGGACCAGGCTGGAGGACCAGGTGGCCAGTGTGTCTGGGGCCTGGGAGACACAGGGAGGGAGGCCTTGGTGGGTGAGGGATGGAATGCAGCTGAGGTCCAAATCCAGCCCCTGGGGTCAGGGCTGTGGCTCAATGGTAGAAAGGGGGCTGAGCATGCACCAGGCCCTGGGTTCCATCCCCAGCACCATAAAATCCCAAACCAAATGAAATGACAACAGCGCGCCCCCACCCCCCCGCTCAAACCCCCTAAAAACAAAACATAACCCAGTTCCACACTTCACAGCTTTGCAACTTGGCACGAGTCAGTTTCCTTTCTGGGTTCCTTTTCTGTAAGATGAGAATATCTACCTAAAATGAGGGAGTCACCAYGTGATGAGGTACATTTACCCATGTCCAATAAAAGCCAGCTCTGATTCCCTGTGGTCCGTGTGCATCGTGTTCTTTATACGTGTATTATGTCAGGGGCGTCTCTGGCCCGTGATCCACAGCAGAGCAGAGTGCACAAGGTGGGCATTTATAAAGAGAGGTCTTCCAATGTGCTCTTGGCTACTGCAGCTAAATGCTTTGCCCTCGACAGCCAAGGATGAATTGGGCTGGATAAAGAGTAGCTTTAATGATGAGACACTATCCTCCACTCCCTTTCCCATGGGGACCTGGGTTGGACCGAGCCATGGGAGGTGGGGTCCACTCACCTATGGATGGAGGCCAGTTTGGCGGATTTCCTGCCGATGGAGAACTCGGAACAGTGGAGGTCAGCCTCGGCCCAGGTCTTATTGAGAGGAAAGAATCGATAGCAGTGGCCTTTGAACTCCATCCAGAACAGAGGACACAGGGACGTCTGAGGCAGCTCTGGCAGGGCTGGGGACAGAGAGAAAATGGACCAGAAGAAAGGTTGGTGGAGCTCAAGTTGCTTCCATGATTTATTACGTATTTTTTCAAGAATGGAAATAACAGGTGTCCCGTCATGATAGATGTGGGTGTCTGCCTGTGATGGTTTGGATATGAGGTACCCCCAGAAGTTCATGTGTCAGGCAATGCAGGAATGCTCAGAGGGGAAATGACTGGACCATGAGATCTGTAACCTCATCAGTGGATTAATCCACTTGATGGATTATTAATTGGAAGGGATTCCTGGGTGGTACCTGTAGGCAGGTGGGGCATGGCTGGAGGAAGTGGGTCATTGGGGATGGAGAACTTACTGCTCTTTTGCTGCTTCCTGGCTGCTACGAGCTGAGTGGCTTTCCATGCATGCCTAAATTTTTCAAAATAATAAGAGTAACTTATGGGGCTGGGGCTGGGGCTCAGTGGTAGAGCTCTTGCTTAGCACGTGTGAGGCATCGAGTTCGATCCTCAGCAGCACATGAAAATAAATAAATACCACAAAGGTACTGTGTCCATCTACAACTAAAACAAGAAATTTTTAAAAGKAACGTATCACTCTCAAACTTGGAAAAAGTGGATTCTTGGGCACATTTCCATTCTGCTGTGTTCGTACACAGTGATAGTTTCTCATGCAATTGTGATCCTGTGGATACAGGACAGGATTCTGTTTTCTAAAAATTAAGGAGTATCAGCATTTCCCCCATCAGGATACCTTCTTGTAAACATTAAATAGCTCTTAGATGCTCTCCYGAGTGGCCCTTCTAGAGTTTATTTAATGATCCTCTCATATGGGGATAATTAGATTTCTTCCTTTAAAAAAAAAAAAAAACGATTACAACATCACCACGGCGAGCAGCCTTGTGCATAAAGCTTTTTCCTGATGATTTTCTGAGAGATCTGGAAGGCTTTGATACAATTTGCTAAATTGCCTCCTGAAAGCAAATTCATACGACCACAGGCCACGTCTGCGAGGACTCGTCTCCCTCTGTCCCGACCAGAGCCCGGGGTCATTATTTTCATGGCAATCTTTGCAAATTTTATAAGCAAAAAGACGGTATCTTGCTTCGACCTGCAGTTCTGGGTTCCCTGGTGAGGGTGCACATCTCCCCGTGTTTATCGGCAGCCACAGCTAAGGGCTATTTATATCCTCTGCCCATTAAGTGACCGGGGTTTCAGAATTTGCTGGTAACACGGCAGAGCCACACAGAAGGGACCCACGTTGGAGATAATAATGCTCTCTCGAGTCTCAGCCCCTTGGGAAACTTTTAGGAGAGTTTTTTTTTTTTTTTTTTTTTCCTGGAAATCACCACTCCAGGGGACTGCCTGGGAGAGGCAGACAGGCCGGGAATCTTCCCCTCCCTGGGATGGAGGGCTCATTTTCAAGGGCGCGCAGGGAGCCCAGACAAGTGGGGGGGTTTGTCAGCCTGGGCTGCCCAACCAGAGTCCAGCTCTGTACCCGAGTTGCCGTGAGACTCTAGAACATTCCTTTTCTTCTCGGCTGTCCAACTAGATGACCCCTGGGGTCCCTCCTATCCAGCCAGGTGGAATCTGCCTGCAAGCCACGACAGTGTCGAGCCACGCTGATGGAGTCCTCAAGCAGTGGGTGACATTCACTGAGCATCTATGACGGGCTCAGCACACCCAGGGAATGGGGGCCTCGATCCTGGAGTCATCCTGGAACTAAGTGGCAGAGCAGGGACCTGAACTCTGCCCTCTCCACTCCAAAGCCTTTGTTTGAAAAGTGTGCATCACGCTTCACYGAGGGAAATCAACAGGGCCCAGAATGGTTCATTTTATTGAGGCTATTGATTGGGCTAAATAAATTCGTGGAGGTGCCGGCGGGCATATACAGATTGCTCCTTGATAGCATGCTTGTTAGTGATTAGCTGCAAGGCTCTTGGAAATTGCTGAGATCAAATGCAAAACCAAAAGCGTGTGTGTCTAGGCGAGTCGGTGCCTCTGGGTGCTTTCTCTGGGGACAGAAAGGGACAGCCACTTTAATCAAGAGAGCTAGCTAAGCAGGCGGGTTCCAGGCCATCCTTCCCAGGACTGGTCAGAGCCGCTGGGCTTTCTCAGGGACCCAGGCTGTCCCCTCCCGCACTCCAGCAGCTGTGCCCCTTGGTCCTGGTGAACCCCACCCTCTTGGTCARTCTTGGCCAACAGTCTTTCTGCAGGTGTCAGGATCAAAAATGGAGCCAGGTGATTTTAGAATTTGCTCTTAATCCTTTTTCTGCAGGGTTAAGGGGGCCGGAGCTCTGTTTGGCATGGCCAGAGTCTTYAGCCTGTCCCTCCCTGTCTCTGGGTCTCTGTCTCCTCTTCTCTCAATGGATAGCATTGGACTAGGAGGACTTTACCTCCTAGTGGCATATGCTGAGAGGGTTAAGGACTCTAGTAACGCTGGGTGTGGCTGAGCTCCCTGTGGGGACTTTGGGGCACTGCCTACCACACAGACTCAACAGACTCACTCCCTGGGGTCCACTTAGGGAGCGGCTTCCCCCATAGCATGGACGAGAAGCTGAAGATCCTTCCCATTCTCCTTCCACCTGTCACTTATAGGCAAGGACATTCRTTGGTGAGAACTTGGCCAGGTTTGTCCAGATTGGTTGGAATGATCAATGCGAAGTACAATATCAAACCACGGGTCCCCAGTCCCACCCATCTGAAGGTACCTGGGAATCTTAAATACCCAGATTATCAGGCTTGGGGTGAAGCTCACTGGCAGAGCACTTACCTACCATGCCTGAGGCCCTGGGTTCAATTTCCAGGACCACAACAAAAAGTTGGCGTCATTCTATAATAGAGTTGGAAATAGGGTGGCCCATCCATTCCACTCTGCCCAGGACTGTCCCAATTTTAAAGCCAAAAGTCACCGATCCCAGGTACCCTTGCAAGCCCTAGCAAACTGGAATGGTTGGTCACCCTTGTGCAGTGATTCTCAACGAGGGGATATTTCAACCCCCAGAAGACAATGCCYGGAAACATGGTTGGTTGTCACAGCTGGGGGGGGGGTGGCCCTACTGGCCCCTAAGGGGTAGAGGCCAGGGGTGCTGCTGAACACCTACAGTGAACAGCTCCCCACCTTGGGATAGTCTGACCCCAACGGTCCATAGAACTGAGATTGAGAAGCTGCCAGGAGGTGACCAAGGAGGGCGGCTTAGGCATGTATCACTAAAGATGACGCCGGACCACAGCTCTGCACCAAGGTCCCCACAACCTTACGGTAAAAATACCTGCCCAGCACCTGCCTGTCCGATCCTAGGCCACCCTTGTTGCTAATCCTCATAGCCAAGGACTTTTGTTTCCAAGTAATTTATRTAATCCTCGGCAGGGTTCCCTTGGACCTCTTTGCTTCAACCCCTCGGATACTTGGGTGACTCTGGAATGAATAGTCCCAAGGCAGCACCATTTCCAAACTTCCAAGAGATTCTCTTTGGAGTATCTCTCTCTGTTTCTTCTTTAGGTCTTGACCCATCCCCATGTGTGTGTGGAGCCCCTGAATCATGGAGACGGTGCCACTCAGACAATAAACCTAACTTTATTGTCTTTATATTTAGTTTTATTTCTGCAGTACAGATTTGGAACACAGGGTGCTCTACCCAGCCCTTTTTATTTTTTTATATTGAGACCGGGGCAACTTGTGAGGCTCCTGCCTCAGCCTCCCCAGTTGCTGGGATTCCAGGTGTGCACCTCCACACCTGGCCCAGCCTAACTTGAAAAGGATGATTGTGAAACAGAATTCTTTGGCGTTCTCCAATTCACTCTCTTGTCTGAGCTGGAAGACTCCATCATTTTTGTCCTCTTTATTTTTTTTTCCTCCTTCACTTTTTAAAAAATAAGCTTTTAAAATTYTGGAATAAACAGATTGACAGGAAAAATTGCAAAGATGGTGTGGGGCATTCCCAAATGCCCTTCAACAGTGTCCCCGTGTTAAACTCTCACATGACGGTGGTCAAGACTGAGAAATTAACACGGTGCCATATCATTATCTAAGCCACAGACTTTATTCAGATTTCACTAGTTTATTTTCTGTTCCCAGATCCAAGCCAGGACACCCCATTCATTCACCCTACCTCTGAGTTTCACTGGGCATTAAACACCACAGCGAGGACTGAATGGGAACAGACAAAATCAGCAAGACTCGGTGGGAATGGGTCAGTGTCCCAGCATTGCGGGGAGTTTGCTGGGGTCACCCTTAACCCCTCTTCACTCCCTGGCGTCCAGTTGGCCTTGGCGTCTGCTGCATCCCATCCCCAGGCCCCTCTAACCTGCCGGTTCTCTTCTCTCCTTCCTCSTTCCTCCTGTCCCTGGGTCTTTCACCAAGACCCGCTCCACCATCTCCTGGTTCCCTGCTCCTGGCTCAGCTTCTGGATCCAGCCCTGGGGACAGCTTCACCCTCAACTAAACCCTCCAGGCGTCCTCCGCCCGTGGGAAGGGCCCCTTGCGACCCTCTTGCTTGGCCAGACCTGCGCACGCCCTGGGCCTGGCTCTGCCCGCAGCCTCAGCACCCCCCGCACCCCCCCCCCAGCTCACTGGCAGCGCGGGCTCTCAGGCGCGGGTCGCAGGTGAGCAAGATGCTCCAGGTGACCTGCTCACCTGGCCCTTCCTCCCTCCCCTCACTCACTGGCTGAACAGGGCTCGGCAAAGGGGAATGAATGACTGATGGAAGGCAGGGGGCTGGCTGGGAAGAGGGGGCGGGAAGGGTCCTGGGTCTGAGAGCCTGGGGTATAGGGGGATGGGGGAATGGGGGATGGGGGGATGGGGGGAATGGGGGATGGAGGATGGGGAATAGGAGGATGGGGGCAATGGGGGATGGGGGGATGGGGGGATGGGGGAATGGGGGATGGGGATAGGAGGATGGAGGCAATGGGGGATGGGGGATGGGGGATGCGGGATGGGGAGTGGGGGGATGGGGGAATGGGGGATGGGGATGCTGCATCAAAAGGAAGCCCCGCCCCCAGCGGGGAGCACCCTTGACC